TCGCAAACGACTCGACGGCACATAACAACAATAACAACAAAATAGCTTCATTCCAATATAACGTTGACTCCATACAACTAACCCATTTAAAGTCTATTCATAATTTTGAATGCCACTATCAATTTTAGAATGTTTTGATTATACTTAAAGGAAACTTCAGCAGTGCCTAGTCCACTACTTAAATTGGGTTATCTGTAAGAGTCTTTATATATTCTAGATAAAAGTTGTTATTATGTGTGGTTGAGTCATTTGTGACTCATAGTGACCCTACGTTCAGCAGCTCTGAAGCCTGCCCTGTCCTGAGCCAGTCTCACCAACTCCAACACATCTACGCCCATTGCCCTAGTTACTGTACCAAACCATCTCATCTGGGGTCTTTCCTGCACTGTCCCTCCACCCTTTCGAGCATGCTAGATAACTTGCAAAACTGTCTTCCCCTTTATGGGCTACCTTTTCATTGTCTCAAAGGTGTCCACTGAAACATCTGTTTTTCACTTTAAGTAGTTGTTGTTGCTGTTGTGTGCCATCAAGTTGCCTGAGACTCAAAATTACCCTATGTACAACAGCCTTAAAACCTGCTCTATCCACTGCCAATCTCACTTTCTCTGACACACCTACCCCCATTACCCCAGTAACTGATCCAGTAACTGGATCAATCCATCTCAAAGATGGTCTTCCTCTCCTGTGCTGTCCCTCCACCCTCCCAAGCATGATGTCCCTCTCCAAGGACTGGCCCCTCCTTGCAACATGTCCAGAGTCAGACGAAGCCTCAGAATCCTTGCCTGGTTTCACCCGCTCTAGCAGTCCATGGTATATTCAATACCCTTCTCCAGTATCACAGCCAATGGCATCAATTCTCCTTCTGTCATCCCTAGTCATTGTCCAGCTTTCCTATGCATAGCAAATAATTGCAAATATCACAGCCTGTACAACTCCCCCCCCCCAAGTTGCCATTAGGTGCCATGAGGTGGACCACAACTCAAAGCAACCTTATGAACAGGAGACCTGGACCCTGCCTTATACTGTCCTTGAAGATGCGTCAAGAACCTCTCCAAAGGGCTAAAGAGAAACAATGTAGTTTAAAGACTAAGGTGAACTTGATCCAAGTCATGGTCTTCTCAATTACTTCCTATGTACCTGAAAGTTGAATAATGACTAAGAATGACAGGAAATGAACTGATTCATTGTGGCATCAGAGAAGAGTAGGGAATATCCTAAGAACTGCTAAAAGAACAAATAAGTCTGTTGTGGAAGAAGTGTGACCAGAGTGCTCCGTAGAGGTAAGGATAGTTAAACATCATTCACATGCTTTCCGCATGTTCTGAGGAGCGGACAAGCCTTGGAAAAAGCACGCAGGGAAAGGTGGAGGATTAAAGAAGAACCTCCACAAGATGTGCTGACAGAGGCTGAAACGATGGGCTCAAGTCTATCAGAGATAGTGAAGATGGCACAGGATAGGGCAACGTTCAGATCTGTTGTACAACTGGGTTGTAATGAGTCATGGTCAACTTGATGTTGCCTAACAACCACCACCATGTCATTTTCAAGGTCATGATTAAGTACAATTTATCTGGGTTTTTGTCACTTGTGCTTTTGGTTCTTGTGACGTATATCAACATGGCCTTGATCCTCAGCATAAGGCAACTAAGCTATATTTCATAAAGTCCTTCATGATGTCAGTTCCTCTCTGGAAATTGACAGAATGTCAACTAAGGTGTTTCAGAAAAGAGATGCCACCGGTAGACATGTGCTCCTCTATGTCAAGAAATAAGGAAGACAGCCACCTCTACCTGGTGAAATCACAGTACCTTTTCAATAAATGTAGCAAAACTGAGTAAGATAATGATCCCTCAGATGACACCTGAAGGATGGGGGGCGGGGAATTCACCATATGAAAATGGAAGTAAAAGCATTAGCATTAGCAAAGACACGAGACAGCATGATCTATCTGGAAGAAAGCCAATTCAGTATTTCAGGGAAATGACACAGAAGGCATGAGACAGAAATTGGGAACTTATAAGTCAAACCAAAAGGAGGGGGGGAAACCCCCAAACCCAGAAAGGCCTTCTTTAGCATGCTGAAGAGCTTGGGCTTTTATCAGGACAGTGATGAGGAGCAGCTGACATGATTTATACAAAGAAGTAAGAGATTTACATCACTTATTCTGGCAATATACACATAGCAGACCTGAGAGGGTTAAGAATGGAAGAACTGTCTCCTTGAATGGTTGTTTCTTACTTCAACAAGTACTTCCAATCCTCTTCAATGAGGAGCATCCTCAGAAGGGACAGCACCCCAGTTTATTCACGCACACCTATTATGGATTGAAATGCAGCCCCTAAATGTCAAAATATGACCCTGTTTGAAAGTAAAGATTAGGTTTTGTTGTGTTAATGAGGTCAGACTGAAGTGGTGTGGGTCCTAAATCAAATCCCTTTCTGAGTGGTGGTTCATAAAGAAGACCAGAGGAGACACAGGGACACAAACCCAATGGGAAGACAAACACCATGATACAATAGAGATCAATGCACGACAAGCTCAGGAGCGTCAAGCATTGCCAGTTACTACCAGAAATTGAAAGAGGCAGAGTCAGAACTTTCCTTAGAACATATTCCCTGACTTTGAACTTCCAATCTCCTGAGCAGTGTCAAATAAATTCATTTTTTAAAGTAAAAAAAAAAAAAAGAATGGAAGAAGAAAAAGAAACTTACTCTTTTAATTCAGGAAAGTAGTAATAAAAATATTCATGCTAAACCAACTAATCATATTAAGGATTTGCTATTCTATGTTCCTGGCACAACTTATCTCATAAAATAAGTGAATTTGTCCCAGTATTTCCTAATAATTTTATTCTTGTTGTGATATACAACTGAGTTGGAGCCAACTCATAGCTGACCCACCAAACAGGTGTTCAGAGCCTGTAAACTGCATAGAAACAGACTCATCATCTTTTTCTTGTGGAGCAGCTGGTGGATTTGAACTGAATGCCTTTGGGATTGCAGTGCAGCTCCTTACTAGTAGGCCACCACAATAAATCTAAGACATACATATTATCCTTATTGAATGGATGAGAATACTGAGACACAGAGTCAATAAGTAACTTGAGTAAGGTTAAACAACCGGTATATGAAGGAGCCAAGATTCAAATTCAGGCAGAGTGATTACAGAGCCTAAGTTCAAAGCCAGGAAACCTGCCATTATGGTATGACAGAGTCAAATATGTCTTTATCGGGTAGACTCAACCTTGGGATTTTCTTGGACGTGGAAGGCGAGGTGAAGGAAAGTGAAGTGTCTCAAAAAAACTGGCTTGGATGACTAACAATTAGACTCACAACTACAAAATTTTAAAGATCATTTTGTCTTGCTGCCTGCCCAATGCCAAAATCTCTTCTTTAGCTCTTTGAACAAAGACTTACCTAGCCTATCCTTGACTGGATGAAAAAGATTTAAGATAACTTCTGCCTTCTACTACTAAGATTCTCTGACCTTATCCATTGATGTTTATACTATGATAGGCAGAACTCAAGAATTCTGCAAGTGTATCAGAGGCTACCATTCTGAACCAGCCCCATTCTGCTTCCTCCTCTGCTTCAATCCCATAGGACCAGGTGTCATTTTAAGATTTCGTCTGGAGTACAGTTCTTCAAGAAAAAAGTTTCATTGGTCCGGACAAGAAATCAGAGTAAAACAATCCCTCAAATACTTAGGACTGCTTGGCTTTTCTCTCTGCTTAAATTTAATGCAAGAACCTAATTTTTAATAGAAGATTTAAAATTGTATACAAATATTATACAAAAGCATACTTTTATTCTTTTTACTTTTTCCTATAGTTTGAAATGTCCTAACACTTCCCCTCCTCCAAGCCTGGAAGTCTTTGTTGTTGTTGTGATTTTCACTCATTCATTGTTGAATTTCTTCCTCTCTACCTGCTCCCCCCAACACTAAATCTCTCTATTTTATAGTCTGTATTTAGTATAAGGTAGTTCATCTGATTGCCTCGTCCATAAGGAACTCTGGTGGCTTAGTGGTAAGAATCTGTGCTGTAATCCCAAAGGCAAGTTGTTCAAATTCACCAGCTGCTCCACAAGAAAAGGTGGGATAATCTCCTCCATGTGATTAACTGCCTCCGAAAACCTGTGGAGGGTCAGTAATGGGTTGGTTCTGACTCAGTGCCATACAAGTCTGTAAGGAACTGTACCAACCCAATGGCTGTGCCTCTCTGATAGTTCAAATCCAGATCAACAGGAGATAAATGGGCAGTCTTTTTCTATTGGATTTATAGACTCAGAAACATGGCAGGGGTCAGCTTCACAGCAGTGAGCTGTCTATTTATTATCAACTGTCAGGTCATGATAACAAGGGAACTACAGCGAAAGGCCTAATTTGACTGGCTAGCATTAAAACCACAGATAATATAGGCAACATTTCAGCTTTAGTACTTATGACCTTGCTTAGAAAGCAATTCAACTAAAATACATGCTTTTGTCTGAGATCTCCAATTCCCTGATTCTTTAGCTCTCTCACTTCCATTTCTAACTGATTAAAGCTGTGACTTGATGGGGGGAATACAGCATAAATCAACAAGGAATCCAGAAACACTTCAGACTCACGCATTTCTATGAACAGCTGCCTCTTCTCTGCCATGGTCTTCCGCTTGTTGCCACTTTCCTCAATCATCCTAGAGACAAAGATAAAACAAGCCACTGTATCACTCTTTCATTCACAGTTCAACCGAGTGCTTTTCATTCTACTGTGAAGAGACACAGGAAACCAATCTTCTTACACATATATTAAGACAGAGTGTAAAAAAAAAAAAGACAAATTCAGAAAGAAGGGGAAGCATGAGACAGCACAAGACAAGACCGCTGTATTGGTACACATGCTTACGGTAAGATATCTGGGTGCATGTGCTTACTGTGCTGAAAATACAGGACTCTGTCTTCTTCCTAGCCCTGATTATTTTTTTGACACAGTCCTGGATGAGTCAAAATACAGTCAGTTCCCCCTCTTTAATTACTGTTTTACATAAATATGTAACTTAATATAACTTAAAAAAATAACTATGAAATGTGGCAATAAAGAATGCAAAAACTTATTATAAAGTGAAGATATAAAAATCTTTCACATTAGCAGTAGAGAGATTTGGAGGCTTGGGGGTAAGAAGGTGGCTGCCAACTCAAAAGTAAGCTGTATGGACTAGCTGCTGGGGGGGAACTATAAGTCAGTTCTGCTCAATACTTAACAATAACAATAACATATTTACAGGAAACAATTTTAAATAAAAAAGTATTCACTGTTAACTTTTCTATCACTTGGTAACAAGTAGTTTCCAATGCAAACTTTGCTTCTGCCAGTCACATTGTACATGTATTACTTAATCCACACAAATTGACATTATTATCTTCATTTTCTATATTAGCAAACATGCCCAGAACAGACCATTTGTCCAAGGGCACACAACTCCTAAATGGCAAAATGGAAATCCAACTTTCTCATTGCTTTCTTATATAACTATTGTTTATGTAAGTACATCTCTTTTTTTATAAAAAAAAACTCTGTGTCTAAGAAGCAGCAATACACTAAGGGAGCTCAGGTGGCTTAGTGGTAAAAAACAGTGCTGCAATCTCAAAGGCACACACAGTTCAAATACACCAGCTGCTCCCATGGAGAAAGAAGGGCAATCTCCTTTTGTGTGATTAACTGCCTCTGAAAATCTGCTGGAGGGTCAGCTATGGGTCAGTTTCAACTCAATGGTCCACAGCAACTACATGGTCACTATGAATTGTACTACACTTAATGGCACCTAAAGACAACAACAATGGATCCAAAATTCAGGGTCATTTTAGCTCAAGGTTGCCTTGTCTTGTTTTGTACCATCAAGTCGTGTTTCCCATGGAGCCACCAGTGGATTTGAACCACATGTCTTCAGGATTGTAGAGAAGCTTTACTGAAGGGGAAAAAATCTAGAAAATAGCATAATCAGACAACTTCCCTAAATAGCTTAAACTGTTAAAAAGCATTCCCTAATAGGTGAAATCATACACTCACTCTCTGATATTGAGTCTGAACAGAGTCATAGCTGACCCACCAGCAGGTTTTCAAGAGGCTGTAAATCACACAGGAGGAAGCTGTCTACCTTCCTCCTGCAGAGCTGCCGGTAAATCTGACCCACCAGAGAGGTACCATCTTTGGGTCAGCAGCACAACTCAGTGTGGATCAGGCCACCAGAACTCTCTAGTAAACAAGAATCACAAATTAAATAAGGATGACATGGAATATTAATTCATTAAAGAATAGTGAAATCTTAATTTTTATAACATATTTAAATATATTCCTTAATACTTAAATAATTAACATTGGCTTGTTCCTAAATCACTAAATCAAGCATACGAATATGCAGAATTCTTGAATATTTAATAATTTATACCCCAAGGGAAAGAACATTAAAGAGAGAGCAATTACACCAAAGAAAAACAACAAGAAACACTTAAGAAGTAAAATAAAATCTAGGTCCTAGATAGAAAAAAGGGATCTGGGCACGAAAACTTTTAATTATAAAGAAAGATACTTTAAAATTTGCTCTTTCCTCTCCAACCTTGCTATCTTCATAGGCAATACAAATTTGAAACGTTAGGTAAAATACAGAATATTATAACGCTTCTTATATTTATTTTTCTTTTTTTATTCCTTTTATCATTTTTTCCCTGTATAGAGTCCAAAAATTCCTAAAGATCCTTAAACTCTTCCTTGCAACTGCCTAAATTTTGCTTTCATTTCTTGATTAATTATGAAAAACAACTAATTTTAAAACATTCTGAGTCACCTGGAGGACCACAGTACTGCACATAGAAAAAGACCAAACTCACTGCTGCGGAGCTTGTTCCAATTTATAGCACTTCCTCTAGCTAATTTCTGAGGCTGTACGTTGTTCCTGGAGGAAAGTGTCCCTCTTTCTCTCAGGGAAAGCATGGTGCATTTGAAGCTCCAACCTTTCTGTTAATACTGCAACAAGTAGTTTGCTATACACCCCAAGACTCTTGTACTGCAAGTGCTACCATGCAATTTCAGCCCTTAACATCAATGGCATTATTGGTAAAAAGTTACACAAAGTAGAGGCCAGCAACAACATAAAATGAGCGGACCTGACCTGACCTGTTACCTGTTTTTAGCCAAATAAAGTTTAACTAGAAGCTTAAGATGCCCACTAATTTATATCTTATCTGTGGCTGCTTTAGTATTACAGTGGCAGAGTTAGTGAAGTCTTGTACAGAAACCAATTGGTCCACAAAGCCCAAAACATGCATATTCTGGCCCTTTTAAAAACTGTTATTGCGCAGAGCACAGCAATCATATCTAATATCACCACACACATCTGGCTATGATTAGGCATGCAATCCCTCATTGTCAAATGACAACAATTATCTCGCAGGGGTTTAAGTTCGAGTTCTACTGGTAACAGTCCACTTCAGGAATGTGCTTTAATCACATCGAGATTCATTCCTCATTAGGAAAACAGCTCTAAAAATGTACATAACCACTGATTTCGCACTTAATGAATACGTCTGTGCCAGACACAGCTAGAGATAATTAAGATATAGCAATCAATAAAGGATGCAAAGACCTTACCTTTATACAGCTTACGTCCTTATGAAATAATGAAATGACATAACTCATAATACCTGGTGAAAGACAAAATGGCTGTGGCTGGGTGGTAAGGCATTGCACTGCCCACCCAAAGGCACACAGTTCGGATCCACCAGATGCTCTGTAAGCAAAAGCTGGGCAGTCTCCTCCTGTGTAACTTACTGCCTCTGAAAACCCGCCAGCGGGTCAGCCAAGAGTCAGTTCTGACTTGACAGTACACAACAGCAACAACAGTATTATTACTGAGGAGCTCTCGGGGGCCTAGTACACAGGGAGTTTCACTGCTAACACACAGGCCACACTTCTCTGGCAGTTTGAATCCACCATCGAGTCTCCAAGGGAAAAAAACAGGTGATCTCTCATCCAATTTACAGCCTTTAAAAACCCACTAGAAGATCAGCTATGACTCAACAGGATTGAGAAAGAAAAGAGAGTGTTATTGGTGCCAGGGCTGTGGCTGCTGTTACTACTACTATACAGGTAGTTCATAAATCTAGTGAAGACAATCCATATTTGGTGATCAGCAATGCTATGACAAATGCTATTTTACTGGGGAGATATATGTTGCTGTTGTTGTTGTTGTTGTTAAGTGCCCGTCGAGTCATAGGTGACTCATAGTGATCCTATGAACAAAAGTCCTCAACACTAGTGTAACTCTCATCCTTTCTCCAGTTTCATAGAATTTCTGGAGGCAAGCTATCATGGAAGTGGATTCCACTGGGGAGCTCCACCCAACACTGTCTGCCATGGGTAACCATTAATGCATTTGACACATCAGTGTCACAGTGTTCAGCTTTACAGCGACCACAAGTTACCTCTGTACGGCAAGTGGAAACACCAGGGCTATATGATCTAGAAGAATGTTTGAATAAAAACAGTAAGAAACAGGCCTGAGGGCCGCAGATTAAAAGTCACCCACCTTTGGCTTGGAACATCACTTTCTGTCCACTAGGCCAAGTGATCACTCTCCATGTTGACATTATTGTTATTAACTGCTGACAAGTCATAGGCAACTCATAGCGACCCTGTGAATGAAAGTCCTCAACACTTGTGTGACTTTCATCCTTTCTCCAGGTTCACAAGGATTCTGGAGGCAAGTAGACACCACTCCTGCTTCCAAGCTTGTTTTAATCGGGGGGCTCCACCAAACACTGTCTGCTATGGGTAACCATTAATACATTTGACACGTCAATGGCACAGTGTTCAGCTTCACAGCAACTACAAGTTACCTCTGAATAATAAGTGGACACACCAGGGCTATATGACCTAGAAGAACGTATATATATATATATATATGTTGTTAAGTGCCATCGAGTCAAGTACAACTCATAGCAACCTTAGAACAAAAGATCTGAACCCTGTTCTATAACTATCGTCATTTCTCTACATTCATAGAGTTTGCAGAGGCATGTGGTTTAGAAAGTGGATGCCACTCCTTCCAAATCAATCCGGGAGCTCCACCAAACATTGTCCATGATGGGTAACCATTATGGCATTTGACACACCAGTGGCACAGCAATCAGCATCACAGCAACCCCAAGTTACCTCAGCACAGCAAATTGGCAGACTAGTGCTGTACCCATTAGAAGAATGTTCATCCCAAACACAATTAACACCAGGCCCAAGAGCCACAGGCCCGAGAGATCAACCACCTTTTAAATACAAGATCTGCCCACCAAACCTCACCAAAACAAGGGAACCCACCTTCTAGAATCCAATTGCTGAGAGAGAGAGAGAGAGAGAAAGGAAAAGAGGGAAAGGGAGAGGGAGGGGGAAGGAGAGAAAGAGAGAATGCAGGTGCGCAGGCGTGTTCTGGTGGCCTAATGGCAAGACACTATGCTGCAATCCTGAAGGCATATGGTTCAAATCTCACCAGCTGCTCTGTGAGAGAAAGATGGGCAATCTACTCCAGTGCAATTAACTGCCTCTGAAAACCCACTGGAAGGTCAGCTATGAGTTAGTTCTGCCTTGACAGAATACAATTTACTTAATTACTTATTTATTTACAAGTAACTGTAGAGTTTTTATAAAGG